TCCGTCACATCTCAGGAATAATAGTATTGTAAATTCTTGGGGTGTGACATCTCCTTTAGCAGTTTCCTTCGAACTGGTGACTCCACCTAGGCTAAGGCCAATGCTTTGCTCGAGCGATTCACAAGGTTTGACCCTAGCTGGAGGAGAAAATCTCATTGTGGAAGGGGGCAATGCCAATGTAACTTCTCCGGCGAACAGGATAAGTAAGTCTCCTTGGCACCTTGGTTTTGTTTATAACTGCATTAAAAAAAATAAACACATAGACGTGTGTTTGAACATAAACACATAGACATGTGTTTGCACATAAACACAAACACATCAACATGCATATTAACATATACATGTTTGTAAAATGCAGGATAATTTCCCATTTGTGCTATACCAGTTAGGTTGATATGTAAATGTATGTCACTTAATTTGTATAAATATACGAATGAGTGTGCATAATGCAGGGTAGTTTTCCACATGTTATAGCTTTCTCAGTTGCTTAAGCATATTTTATTTTATATAGGCAATAGGTTCCGAAGTTTGACACGCTTCGTGAATCATCTCATTAAAATTAAAATATATATCCTTAAAACTATTTAAACCTCAACCAACATGTTCACATAAGGAAATTCCCGAAATTTCCCCCTCTGAGGATCTAGCGTGAAAAACCAAAGAACGATTTCTACCATAACAGGGTTAATTGGCTAGTCAGGTCCAGGTTTAATGAAATTAGGTCTGAAAAATCAAAATAATAGTGCTTATCTACAATACTTTACTCAGCTTAAGAGAAGGAAATGTTGCATAGATAAAGTAATATGGACATATGGTAGATCGGAAAGGTAGCAACAGACCTCAACATCAAAAGTAACAGGAGCATAACGAGCAAGTTTCTTTTGGAGATCAAAACTCCGCACCTCTTTATTCTCCTTGTACCTTCAGCAAAATATTTTCAGAATGTATTAACACTCCACTTACAACCAACTCAAATCATAATAGGAAGTACATAATAGAGAAGGACATCTACTCTTTCTTTCTACATAAGAAAAATATATATTCCAGTTCAACTAATTCTGAGACGAAAAACAGATGGCCCTCCTGTGAAGATGAAAAAGAAAGTAATAGACATGTTCTGCAAGTAGCGTACCTCATCTCAATAATGTTAAATAATTGACCATATTGTCCAGTGATGTCGTAAGGGACATAATCTTGATTTTCCTTAGCAAGTAAGCTCTTATATTCCATCCAAGGAATATACTTAACAGCTGAAACTTCTGCTTCCTGGGGTAAAGCTTCACATAAGAAATCAGTTACAATATGAAAGACACTAGAAATGTGCTTCTAGTCCACAGTGTAACAAGCTATATTTACTTTGTATTCACATTTTCATTTTAAGAGATGGTAAGTCAGATAAACCCCTAAATATTCAAGATCAAGCTGAAAACAGGAACAATTTGAAGTATAGAAAGTAGACCTTGTATTTATCCAAACCATATAAAGTCCCTAATATCACCAAATCTGTACACCTTAGATTCAATGCTTTTAAACTCTAGCATGCGACTCCACCTGGTCCCATGCCAATTCAACATAGCAAGTATTGGCAACGGCTAAATAAGACTAGGCCGAGTGTTTGAGAAAACAAATGGAAAACTCCATGTAAGACTCGGTTGAGTCCTCAAAAAAGAAAAAATGTTTTAACACTCAAATGGAATGATGGAGATCAAAGGGCAAGTCTTCATGTTGCATTGCTGCAGACCAATGGTTTAAAACCAAGGACTTCTACGCTCATTAGGGTCCTGAGTCTAAGTCAGGAAACTCAGACTTGACCAAGACTGCCAGAGACTTGGCCAAATTCTAAAAACGTTAATAAAAAAATACTGGAAATCAGCGAGACAGTCGATTCTCATGGTTTTGGTTCCAGACTCGGTAACCTGTGGGGTCCAAGTAACTCCGGTGAGTCCATGTCGGACTCGATGAGTTTTGATTGACTGCTGCAAAGTCAAGTTGTCCCAAGCCCCATCACCGGGGGAAAGGGGGAAAGCCCCAACTTATTTTTATTGTCCTAAGAAGAGCGTTAATGTTATTGTATATGTACAGTCCTAAATGAGGTTTCAACAAAGATCTCGTAGTAAAATAGTTTCTTGAGCATGGGTAGTAACTGAAAGATTCTTTGATTTCATCCTAAAATAGTTTCTTGAGCATGGGTAGTAACTGACAGATTCCCTGGTAACTAATTCGCATTTATAACGAAGCTTTGGAGAGGTGGAAACCATTGGAACTGCTGCACAATGAACAATGAACGAGAAAGAATGTACAATGTTCAATAGTGATGGTGAACAGAGCTTAATAGTGATTTTGAGCAGTGTGGTGCATAGTAGTGGAGAAACAAAATGGAGTAACTAAGAAGAGGTGACAAGGTCCTACATTGAGACCGCAAGCCGAGATCAAATTAATCTATCCACTACTAAGCCCATCCTTCCCAAAATACATACCTAAGAACTTTCAATTCAGATAACCAAGACCTCTTTAAGATTGATTTTATAAATGATGCCATGTATCTTAGGCTTCTATATGGAGTCCGGCAACTTATTGGAAAGTAAAGCACTACCTGTAATCTTTCTTCTTGGAAAAAAATTACTTCAGCAATGTAATATAATAACCAGCATTCCATTTTTCAAACTTCTATGCAGTACCTGGGCATTAATCTCGTACAAACCCACCAATAAATTAATAAGCCTTTACGTTCTTTTCTTTTTTTGGATAATTCACTCAATTAATAGGTCTAAGGCATTCATATGCATCACTGCTTTCTCAAAAGGGACGAGAGCTGAAAGTAGCACTGACAATGCTGACATTCTAGCACCCATATAAAACTCCCTGGAAACCTCCATTAAGTCAACAGATGTCATGTCACAAGTATACCTTTCAGGAAAAAAAAAATTCTAGGAATCCATCTGATCCTAGACTTTTTTCCCCATGCATATTAAATGGCTTCCTGGTCTCCTTCATTTGAAATTTCCTCAAGGTGACAGCAATTCCCATATTCAGGGCACTAAACTCCATCTAATCCAAGAATGGGAGTTTCAATCTATTGTGCATGACCGCCTTGAACTTAAAACAACCGCCTCCTAGATCTCCTCTTGGTCATCAATCACCTCATCCACACATTACCCTTATCCAAGGGCAGTTCTAATGCATACATAGATAAAAAATTCACTAACTTCAATCAAATATGCAACTATGCTCAATTTGGAACTCATCAAATCATGACTAACTCACTCATTCACCCAATGAACAACAAAAGATCAATAGAATTGGAAATCGGTATTCTCAAGCCCACACAAGAACCAGCTCATACCTGAAGAGTAAAGGCTTCCAGAGGAATTGGAGCAAGAGTTGTAACAATGTATACATCATTAAACTCATTGTTAATATAGTTGCCATCGTTTATAACACTGCAGTCACCATTAAAAACAAAACCATCTAAGAATTCCAAAATATGTTCAGGCATAAACTAATAATCAACCAAATAAACTTGGATAACAAAATATGTTAGGTCATCATGATAAAACTAAAAAATTCCATGCGTTTCTTCAAAATTGATGTAATTCTGAGCATGTTTTGAATGGCCCAAACGATTGAGATGGCGAAGAAGTGATTGCTAGTAATACGATATGGCCAGAATTGTTTCTGAATATATCTGTTCAAGAAGAAATGTAATTGAAAGAGCCTATATCCCATTTGGAAGAGGTGAGCAGAATTTAAATGACTGAAAACAGGGGAGAAAAGTGGTTGTGGCACCAGAAATTTAGGTAGGTAATTTGTCAAGAACCTCCATGTTCCAATAAAATGGATATGGAGGAAAGAACAACCTTGAGGATGGCTGTCTATTCGTGGATGCTTCATAAATTAAGATTCTAACAAAATTAAGATTCTAACAAAATTAAGATTCTAACAATTGATCATTTAAAATATAAAGGCTTTTACACAGAATTAAAATCTGTTCTTTGCACGAGAATTACAATCATGATATTCTTTTGTTTAATTTTGTTATAAATTTCATGCAGGAACTCGATGGAATCAGAAAAGATAAACATGGTAGGTGTCTGACCCCCAGCTAGGCGCAACTGCGCTAGTTGAACGCATAGTACATCAATCTCCCTTGTCATAGCCAGCAAATGATGAAAAGACCTCCTGATCCTTCCACAAATCAAAAAAGATAAATGGGTCCTACAAAAGTCTGCTATTGGCAAGATTTAGCTCTCTCTCTTGGCGGTCCATTTTTGTTTAGACTGACAAACCTCTATGAGGGTGGACCTCCAGCCTTGGACTGACCTTCGGAGGGACGCAAGGCTGGTGCACCGCAAGGTGTGGGGTTTAAGCCTCAGCACTACACATGACCAGGTGGGCTAGTGGGCTGGAAATGGACTTCAATGGGCCTGGGCTGAGGGGGCAACTAGAGACCATGTCTAGGCTAAAGAGTGGGCTTTGTAATGGCCACAAGCCATGAAGTGGGTGTAATGGTGCACCTGGCAGGCCATTCAAGATTAAAGCCTGGCTGCCAGGCGATCCATGAGTTTGAATTCAAAAACAATAGATACAACGTAAATCTCAGTACCAAACCCTTGAGAAGCATCAGATGCAGTACACTTGAACGTGTATAGTCCAATACGATTGGGCCATGGCCCTTGACCCTTCTGTTGTCTCTTTCTTGAGTGATGGGGCAAGATAGGCCGAATTTGGCCTCCTAAGCAAGCCAAACTTAAGAGCCAAGGCCACAAGGTTAGGCTCGAAAAATTAAACCCCTATAAATCAAGGCTCTCAATTTCCAAATAGATTACCAGTTTTAATAAATGACACCAAGATTGACAATCCGGTGTAGAATTGGTTCGTTTTGAATTTAAGGTTTAGTCCACTCGCATCCTTACGACGAGCTTGTCATCGTTTTCATTCATTGCATTCGGGCTCATAAGGAACAATTCCTCTCTCCATTTGGTGTTCCTTGGACTAATCCATCTGTGTCCTCCCGAAACTTTCTCTTAGTTCTATCCTCTAGTCCTACCTATGGCACATAAGCACTAATTACATTAATTATCTCCTCTCCTAATGCATGTTTATTTAATAGGAGCCTATCACCTACTTTCTTGACATCAACTACTTTATCTTTTAAATCTTTATCTACTATTACACCAACGACATTTCTATTATTATCCTCTCCTATTTACTAAAGTTTATGTCTATAGATTCCTTAGCTTTTGCCCCCTTCACCTTAATCTCCTTTAAGCATGCTATGTTAATTCTCCTTTGTCTCATTGTATCAACTAACTCTATACTCTTATTGGAGTTTCTACATTCCATGTGGTTAGACAAATCATATTCTCTTGGACGAACTTCTTTACCCACGCATGTCCAAATTGAAACATTAACCTTTGCCAACTTATCAACAAGGCGTAGTTGTGGCGTGTCACTTCCAGAGAACGCCCTAGCTAACCCTTGCACATTTCTCAAGGCATATGGATTCCAATATAGCAAGTAGCTTACAGGAAATACCTTAGCATGAGCATATATAACATAGGTTCAGGATTCACGAAAAGATATGATAAAGTTTTACGTTGGCTGCTGAAACACAACCATCCTACTTTGTCTGGGCTTGGGACCGGCCATGGCGTAGTTTGCACCAAAATATTTTATAAGGACAAAAACCACTAAAATGACATACTTTTAAAAAAAGGATTGGGGGGGTTTGTCATTTCCAAGTCCCATAGAGATTAGTCGATTCGGTGCTACAATAGAGGACTAAGAAAGCAGACATAGGACAGAAAAATATATATATTTGATATGTTATCGACTACTTAGATTATTATTCACCCCAAAAAAAAAATATTTGGACAATTTTTCCCATTTTGATATTTAGTTTGGTCTTTGGGAGAGAAGGGAAGAAGGTTTTTATGTGGAGGAGGAGGATGACTCTAATGATGATAGCTTGCATCATCATCAGATTCAAGTGCACTGGATGCCAGACATCGACCTGATGTTGCTAGTAATGATGAAACTCAACCTCATAAGTGAGTTCATCATATTTGTGGGGTGAAGAAAACTACTATTTATAGTTTATGGTCTTTGATTGTCGGATGTGACTTTTTTTTTTATGACTTATGAGTATCTGTTGTTGCTTGTAACCTGTGAAATTTAATGGACATCTCGAGTTGCTTTTATCTTTTAATGTTGCTTTTGAGTTTAAACTATTTCATTTAAAGTCTAAAGTCGATTATGTTTATGTTTGATCTGCACTTTTGACTTCTGAACAATATATTATATACAAAACTTATCAAATTAAAAAATGCCAATTCTATATACAATAAAAGGAGGTGAAATGTGGGTGGTCCAACAATCCGCAAGGATCTACCCCTTTCCCCCAATGTAGGCTGCCTTTGTGTCTGGTTCCCCGCTTAGGTGTCTGCCTTCTTGAACATTGCATCAGATGAACAGTTTTGAAAAAGAAAATAATTCAATAAGAGTTCTTAAAGATCTAGATCTAAATGCCCACCAAATGGAAAGCCTACATTCATTGTTGGAGTGAAACTCATTCGGACCTTTTCTAGGTGTAAGTTCAATTTTTTTCCCTTTTTTGAGATTGATCGTTGGTATGAGAAGTATGCGAATGATTGTCACAAATTTGGAGTCATAAGCATGCTTGCATGCTACTAACATGGTTTATGGAAGGAGAAGTTTCATTATATTACTATGAAATCGTTCCACAAGGAATGATTAATCAGCACAACCAGTGCTACTGATTGCAACATGGGTTATGCAGAAAAATGCAATAACCCAATGCACATAATATTCATACAACAATTGACAGAATTGAAGAATTTAGCAAAGTTCAGTGAGGAACTCACAAGGTATTTGCTTGTGTGGCAGGAAAGTGATATTGATGAACTAGAGGTCCAAGATGTTTAAGGTATAAATTAAAAAATGGATGCGGTTAGCATGCAGCCAAGCCTGCACATGTAGAAATGCAGGCTTCGCAATAAATATATCTGTTAAATATAATTTGATCCTAATATTTAGAGAATATATTATCTTTAACATGGAGATCATGAATATAAATAAATAAATAAATTTTAAAAACTAAAAATATTAATAATATTAAGAAAACATTTGGACCATTAGTTACAATTGTTTTTAGATGGACCACCTATTTGCATCCATCTTTTAAGATGGATGCTTTATATCTCTAGACCGCATATTGTAGCAATGAGGTCCGGCCCGCATGAACAATTGTTCTTAAAAAATTGATATCAAAATAAGTAAAAGTTCATAATATAATATTGTATTACAGGATTCTCTTAGTACAAGAATCCGACACATGCCGAAGAATCCTGACGTGTTGGATTCCATGTGTATATGTGTCTCAAGAATTCTCCTTTCATGATTCTTTGAAAAGAGAATCCAGCAGTGTCCATTGCCATACCTGTGTCCAGCTGTGTCCGGAAGGAGAATTAAGCCTAGGGTGAAGAATCCAAGAAACGTGGGAAGATTACACTAATTTTAAAACATGCAAAAGGAAATACGAGACATGGGGATCATCATGAAGTTTTTTGCCATGATAGTGGGGATAACATGAACTGTTATGTAACTTTACTAGGAAGATTGACATTACAAGTGCAGATGCAAAGACAATTACTAGTTGGAACATACTTGTATATCCAGGTTTTGCACAATCAAAAGTGATTATCTCCATATCATCGGATGGGGCAGGAGTTAGGGGAATGCACCATTGGAGACATGATAGAACTAAAAGTGAAGTAACGAATTTCGGTGTTTCAATAATGTCAGAGAATAAGTTCCTAAGGAAAAAACACCTTAGAGATGTTGGAAATATGACCCTATGAGACTTATACCCTTCATATGGCATCGTAGAATATTAAGGATCTGCTAAGCACTTAATGGCTACATGGTGACTTCTCCTTTGCTAAGGGCATTATTGAATGTCAAAGGAACATTTGAGCTGCCTATGTGAGGGGAGGATGCATGTGACTTTTAATGCTTGTCAAACATCGTGTTGTCTTTAGAAAAGACAACATATTTCCCATCGAGAATCAAAACCAAAGCATATTTAGATACAAATGCAGGGATATTATAACAAAAGACCTGACCACAAGTTCGTATTCCCCATTCAGTTTGTTTCTACAAAAGAGAGCCACCTCCAAAACAATAGTTGAAAAGAAAAAAAGAAAAACTTCAATGGTCCCAACGGCCAAATACTACAATATTGGCTCTTTAGACCAACCACTCATCCATCAAGATGGCCTGTATGGATCAGAAAATAAAGGAAGGTACTTGCCGCCCTTTCTAGTGGCTTTTCTTCGTTGAATTTAGCTTTTGGTGAAGTAGAGAGCTATGCCCTTAGATAGCAGAATGTAAAAAAGAGAACAGCGAAGCACCTTAGATAGAGAGAGTCCTCCTTGGGTTTCCCAGAGAGAGATGACTTTGCAGTTGGTTTCGATTTCTTTAGAGAGAGAGAGAGAGAGAGCACGGCCTAGAGAGAGGGAGAGAGGCTCTTTCCAGTAGTTTTAGTTTCCTTTTTCTTTTCTTTTCCTTTTTTTTGGGTTGTTTTGTGGGAGGGGGGGGTGCGAGATTGCGAGAGAGAGAGAGACAGAGAGAAAGAGAGAGCACCCTTGGGCTTTGCTACTCTTTCTCCCTACCGCTCTCAATCAAATGATGAAGCTCTTTGAATAAAGTTCAAAAT